TTTCATAGTGGCCTTCAGGAGTTAGCAGCCTGAGGAAGCAATGTTGAGGTGGGGAGGTGAGGAGCCGGGCAGGGAGGCGCAGAGGTAGGGCCAGGGGAGATATTTTGGGGCAGGCGTCTCCCCGATCAAGGCTGGACAATGGTCCAGGGCAGCCATTGTGCTGGGAGTGGAAAATCCGTTTCTGACTCCATCTCCAAGGGCTGAAAATAGTCCAAGGCAGAGCCCCTGGGGACTGGGTTTGGGCTGATGAGTGACTTACCCAGCCTGGCCCATTGTTTCTCACTGGGACAGGGCTGAGACTGAACACCTGGCTCAGCTGGAGCCGAGACAGAGGTGAGCCCGGGGAGCCCCGACTAGAGGAAGAATTGCTGGACCATGCCACGCCTCACTGCAGGTGCAGAAACTGAGTCCCGGGGCCCTGGCCGGGTATCTCGGTGGTTAGAGCGTCATCCTGATATGCCAAGAATTGATCGATGAATGCATAAATAAGTGGAAAAACAAATCCATGTTTTTTCTATCTCTCTTTTCCTCTCTCTCTTCCTTCTTCTCTCTCTCTAAAATCAATCAATCAAAAAACTTTTAAAATTAAAAACATGGGGACAGACTCATAGATGGAGAGCAGGATGACAGCTAGTGAGGGGGCAAGGTGAGCGGGTGGAAGGACTCAGCAAAAAGGAAAAAGGATTCAGGGACATGGACAACAGTGTGGTGACTGTCGGGGGGAGGGTATGGAAATGGTAATGGAAATTGTATCTTCTCCATTACCATTCCTAAATGGTAATGGAAAAGATACAATAAAGATAAGATAAAAAATAAAGACCCCCCCAATCAGAATAATATAAAGCTGAGGCCCAGAGAGAAGGGGTTCACCAAGCCACATGGGCAGAGGAAGATGAGAGTTTGAGACCTGGGGCTCATCTCCTCACCCCATCATTCTCCCCCGAGAGCACACTCTCCTTGGGGGGGGGGGGCCATGAAGATTCCTCACCCTGCAGCCAAGCCACTTGAGGCCAAGCCCCACCCGCCCCCACAAGAGGCAGGAGCATCAGACATCAGACTGGTTCCCTTCGAGCCACTGTGTGGTGCCAATGGAGTCGCTTCACCTCTCTGGTCTCCTGATGCAAGACAGACCCCCCCGCCCCACTCCAGTCCTCACGACTGAGAGCCCAGTGGGTCTTGGGAATGCCTGAAGGAGCAGCTGTTAGTCGTGCCTTTGGTGAAGATCTGGGTAGTTGGTGCCCTAATTGAGGCAGGGAGTGTGGGAGGCGAGTTCTTCGGAGATGGATTGCAGGTGGCCTGAGGTCACACAGCAAAAGCTACTTATTCATTGCCTGCTGTGGCCCAGCTCCAGTCCAGTACGCCCGCGCTGGGGCTCCAGGACCTTGCTTGAACCAAGGAGCAGCTGTGGTACCCCACGGCAGGTGCCAGTGGTCGGGAGAAGGGGCCAAATCTGTTTCCAGGGATAGGCGGGAGCTGTCTAGCCCCAAGGGGCTGCTCCAGAATCTTGATACCAAGGGCATCCTCTTCCTTCCCCGCCCACTGTCCATTCTCCCTGCTGCTGCCCTCCCACAGCCAGCACCTGGACAAGCTTCTGTGAACACACACACAGGCCCGTGGGTCTGAAAGCCACAGTAGGGCTTTCAGGTAGGGCACAGGGTGGTCCCTCGCTTTACTCCAAGATGGACCCGCTCCCTTCCTCCTATACTCTGGGGAAGCCTGGGCCACAGGGGGCCCATGGTGCTCGCTGGCCAGAAACACTGTCCTTTCCTTCAGAGCACTTATCTTCATGTGGTCCCATATTGAATTACGCCAGTGCCATGATGGTAGGGTCTGGCTGGTTCGCCTTCCTATCCCCTTGGCACAGTGCCTGGCATGTAAATGCTTCCCACACACCAGGCACTGTTCTAAGTGCTCCCTGTGTGTTAACTCAGGTGGGCCCCGCAACGACCTACGTGGGAGGCAGGGCCTCCTCTGAAATGCGAAAACCAAGGCGCTGTGAGATTGAGTGATTTGCCCAGGGCGCCCCCCCTGGGGGAGTTGGAGACCACACTCAGAGCCAGGGGCACGGGCATAGAATCTGCGCTCTCAGCCCCGTTCTCACCACGCTGCGTCTCCTCCTACATGCTGAGCATCGCTTACGGACCCTCCTTCCCCACAGGCCTTTCCAGTGAGTGGCACAGGGTGCTGGAAAGGGAACTAATCTGGGACCGGACGGACCTGGGCTCAGTCTCAACTCACGTAATGGCCTGTGTACCCCGGGGCAAGCCATCACTTTTCAGAGCCTGGCCCCTTGTCTGCTGAATGGGGTGGGAATGCCTATTTCACACAGCTGTGGTAAAGGATAAATGACATAATGAATGTGAGAGTGCCTGGCACAGTGCCTGGGGCACGGGTTAGCACATGAGTTCCCTTTCTCATGCAGCCGACTCCAGACAGATGGGCCAGAATCTGCAATGACAAGGGTGGTGACCTGACATGGGCCTGGACTGGGGCAACTGTGTCCGGGGACTTTCCTAGCATTGGAGTGTCAGGGTGAGAATGTTCTCTGGGCTCCCACTCCCTCCTGGGCCCTGGAATAATACCTGCTACCCAGGGCACAGACCCCTCTGTGTCAGGTCCACTGCCCTGGTTGCTCAGAGCTCATTGAGAACAGCTGCTGCAGGCAAATCGGCAGGCTTTTACTCCCCCTACCCCCTTGCCCCCCCACCATCCTGGCCTCAGCTGTAGCTCTGTCCACTTGGGGCAGTGTGTGTGATAGCAGGATTCTCACCAAGGCACTGACCCGCAGTAAAGGGACCAGAGCAGCAGGGGCAGCCTGCGTCCCTGGCATTTGTCCAGGCGCCATGCTGACCTCCTGAGTGACCTTGGGCAAGTTCCCTCCTCTCTCTGGCCTGGAGTCTGCAGCTGGGCTGGATAATCCCCACAGTGGCCTTCAGGAGTCAACAGGCTCAGGAAGTGATGTCAGGGTGAGGAGGTGGGAAGGTGGGGATGGGGCAGGGAGGCTCAGAGAGTAAGAGGAGATATTTTAAAAGCAGGCAGGTCCCCCCACGTCACTGCTGGACAATGGTCTGGGGCTGGGAGTGGAAAATCCTGCTCTTGCTTGAGCTGAAAATAGCACAGGGCAGCAGGATCAGAAGCCTCACCCAGCAGGCAGGTGGCCTGGGCACTGAGCAGCAGGCCAGATGTCCACACCGAGGGGCCAGGTGGTCCCACTAGGGTCTGGAAGTGAGACCCTGGGCCTGTCCCTAGTTCTCCTAGGGTCTCCATTTCCCACCCCCACCATTGCCTGCCACAGGATTAGATGGTGGGTGAGCCAGCCACTCAACATCGCCTAGGTGGAGGGCCCTGTGTCCTTAGAAATCCGCAGCTAGCTAGTCGTAGGAAGGCTTCATGGGGTGAGGCCTGGGTTTTTGGAGTCTCCAGGGCAGCTGCTGGAGGTAGGTGAGCCCGATATGAAAGGAATGGGGACTAGAGGAACTAGGGCTCGTGGTGGCCACAGTGCCACCCCCAATGGCTGATGCACAACAACAGTCCCCAAAACCATGATGTATAACCCCTGCCTCTGGGTTCAAGAAGGGCCAAGGGAGTCAGAGCCCCATTTATGCTCCTGGCCAGCAGAGCATCTTACCCGGGGAGGGCATCCCTATAAACTGGGATGGGGTTTAGCTTGAACAGCAACTAGTAAGGACGGGACGGACTCCAGGCTACAGCAAAGGCTCAAGGACAACCTGTAACAGGTGGTCACCAAAAAAGTTCACAGGGACTAGGGTTACATTAACAGACGTATATGACCTAGAATGTGGGAGGTAAGCACAGCTTTGTTTTGGGCAGGTCACCCACATGGCACAATGCAGAGTCATCGTTTGGATCATGGCTTGCGTGGGTCCCTGCCACATGAAGGAGCTGCGGAACTAGATTCTAAACAGAGCGGCCCCTGGGGTTGCCCCATTTTGCCAAGGGAGAGTGGGAAGGGTGGAGAAGGCATAGGAGGCAGGGAAAGCGGGTGAGGGAAGAACCTCCCAGGTAGGCAGGCCCGTAGGGCAGGGGCCCTGAGGGAGGACAGCCAGCTTGGCCCTATCCCTGCCACAGCTGTCAAGGCTGAGATCTCCGATCTCCGGAGTGGTCCTGGCTGGACCCAGAACCTGTCACAGGTGAGACTCATCTCCCCCACACTAAGCCCTGACCCAATCTGAACACCAACCTTGATGACGACAGGTGGCTGGATTTTCCCCAGAGGCCGAGGAGTGAGTCTTTCCCACACTACTCAGGGTGAAGGGAACCTGTGATCAGGACGAGGAGGGAGCCCTGACTTGGCCCCCTTGTGACCCAGCCCCAGCCTCATTCCAGCTCCGAGCCTGGGAGCCAGCTGCCCAGCCTGCTTCCAGTTCCGCACACCCTGCTCTGCTGCTTCGATGCCTGTGTCCAGGGTGCACCCTGCTGCACCTGGATGTTCTCTGCTACACCCCTTCTCTCAGAAGCTACAGCTTAGGAGTCTCCCCTGACCACCTGGTCCACAGGTCCAACCATTCAACATTACCGAGCAGTGTGCTGAAGCAACTTGTACCTGCTTGCCAAAGCCCAGTTGTTAAATATTCAGGAATTTTGCAGAGAGGTTGATATCCCATTGGCGGTCTGAAACTGGCCATGGTAGGAGTGTTAGCTCTACAGCAATTGGCAATGCTACAATTAAGGGTTCCCCTCATTCACCTGGAGAGCCAGTTAAATGTGTGACATTTACCAGTACATGACTAGTTGTCACCATCAAGTCCTAAACTGGGGCATCCCAAGGACTGGGGTCCCACCTGACTCCTCTCTGAGCCCAGCAGAGCCAGGTACAAAAGCCAGTCAGCTCTAAAGTAGGGGGTGACCTGGGGTCTGGAGAGGGGACGCCTCCTGTGAGACCCCTGCTGTGGCAGCTAGTGGAAGGCAGGTGGCAGGGGAGACGTGCGCGGGGAGAGCCTCTCAGACCGAATCCCCATCCTCCAAACATGAAACAGTGCTCAGCAGATCACAACACTTTTAGTATAAGTTACAGCCTCAAGCTGGCCCCCAGCCCCTGGGGGCCTCCAGATGGGCTCAGGGCACCAGTTTCCATACGTTCATCTCTTGGGCTGGGGGTGCTCCTCATTGCTGAGTCCACTGCACTCAGACCTGCCCCCGACTCCTGGGGGAAGCTCTGGCTCAGCCCTGGCTGCTCACCAGGGTCCTCCATTCAACCGGCAACCCCATCCTTCCCAGGTGGCTCAGGCCCAGACTCCTTCCTCTGTGTGCCCCGGGGAAGTCGCTTTCTTCTCTGGGCCGGTTTCTCCATTGACTTGGTTCGGCTGGACTCCAGCCTGGGTACCTTGACAGGCGCTGCTGGCTCTTTAAGTGGGTGAGTCAGGCCAGCAGCAGCACTGGCCCCAAACCCTTGCCTTTCCTGAAAGCTTATTCCCCAACGGATGCATACAAAGGGTGATGGGGCTATGGGGACTGTTGAGTTCTCTGGACTGCAGAGAGTGTCCCGAGCCCCTACCAGATGACAGTGTTGGGTCATGGCTCCCTTGACCACCCAGCATGCATCATGACTGTCGGTATCTCAGGAGGCTGTCCCACTGGAACAAGTCCTAGTCCCTGTAGCCCCTTCCTCACTGCCAGCCTCCATATAAACGTGTGCAGGCCGGAGGGGTTCAGGTCTTAGAGCCTGACGTCTTTAGTATTCCCACCACCAGCCAGTGTGGGCTCCATCTGCCTGGAATTCTCACTGCTGGCGGACCTGTCTTCTGTCTGGTTGTTGGTTCTGCGGAACTTGTGCAGGTCCAGCCTGCGGCTAGCCTGGGCAGTGGGAGTGGGATTTGTGGATGGCTTGGCGTCCCGGGCAAAGCGCACGAGCCTCTGCCCAGCCAGGAAGTACAGCACGGGGTCCAGGCAACTGTTGGCGCTGGCCAGCGGCCGGGTGATCTTGTAGGCCATGTTGATGGCGTTGAGGGTGTGGCAGCTGACGTCCAGCGAGCGGAAGGAGTAGTAGAGGGTGCGGGTAACGTGGAAAGGCAGAAAGCAGAGGGCGAAGACAGCCAGCACCACCGCGATGGTGCGCACCGACTTGCGCTTGGCTCGCGGCAGGCCCCCGGCAGTCCCGTAGGCCGGCTGCAGCAGCCGCCGGGCCATGAGCACATAGCAGACCAGGATGGTGGCGAAGGGCACCGCGAAGAGCAGGCCCAGCATGACGGAGATGTAGGCCAAGAAGTGGTTGAAGAGATGAGGGGCCGAGGTGTCGTGGCAGGTAATGCGGCTGCCGCGTGTGCTGGTGGTGACGAAATAGAGCACAGGCGCCTGGCAGGCTAGCACCAGCCCCCACACGGCCGCTGCGACACGGCGGGCATAGCGGGCCCGACCCCAATGCAGCGAGCGCAGCGGGCGCAAGACACCCAGGCACCGGTGCACGCTTATGCACGTGAGGAAGAGGATGCTGCAGTAGAGGTTGGTGTAGAAGAGGAAACGCACCAGCTTACAGAGCACGGTGCTGAAGGGCCAGTGGTCGCCGCGGGCGTAGTAATAGACCAGCAGCGGCAGGGAGGCCGCGTACAGCGCGTCCGACACGGCCAGGTGGAACATGTAGGTGGTGGAGGCGTTCCATGTCTTGAGGCGGCACAGGAAGATGTAGAGCACCGCGACGTTCAGACACAGCCCGAGCACGCACACCACGCCGTAGGACACCGGCAGCAGCACGTACTTGAAGTCCTCGTTGAAGCGGCACTTGTAGCCCAGCTCATCCCCATTCCAGGTGTCATTGATGGTGCCATTCCAGACGCTCAGGCCTGCAGCCATCACCCTGAAGGAAGGCGGGTGGGTGGGGAGAACAGTCATCGGGTCAGGCAGGGGCTCATTGGACAGGCTTGACACTCCCGAGAACCAGGCCAGGAGGGAACCCAGATTCCTTTGGTTAAGATCTGCCCAACCGCATTCAAGGTCTTTGTTTCCGTCTGACCAGGGGACCTGGAACCTCAGAACTCTGGAACCCCCCAAATGCATGAGATCCACAAATATCAGGGTTATATAATTCTAAAACTTTAGAACATGAGTAGGCAAACTATACTCTGAAGGCCAAATCCAGCCCACCAGTCTGTTTTTATAAATAAAGCTTTATTGGAACACAGCATACCCAGGCATTTTTACAGAGATGAATAGTTGTGACAAAGACCATATGGTCCGCAACATCTAAAATATTTACCATCTGGCCGTTTACAAAAATAAAGTATGGCGACTGTTCTAGAATCCCAGGAACACAGAGTGCCAGGTCTGGAATGCCGAGCTCTAGAGCCTGAGGGTCCCAGAGCACATCATTTCAGAGCCATGAACAGGGGCTGCTGGTGACCGCTGGGCTCCACCCAGTGCCCACTGTCTTCTGAAGTGGTTCTGGCCAATGGGCAGCCCGCAGAACGTTCAGAACGTTCAGAAGGCATCGGAATGTCCTTTCCTTAGTTCATTCTCCGGCTCCCTGGGGAGGCTCTGGCTGCGTGCCCGGTATTTTGGTATTGAGGAAGTATTTCCAAGGGTCTCCCTCTTTAGTCACTCACTCACTTACTCAGCAAACATTTTTTAGATACCTCTATGTTCCGGCACCTTCTGCACATGTAAACAGCCGCGCTGCTCCCTGGCCTGTGAAGCTACCAGAAGGGACAGTGACCCCCTGAAGATTCCAGGGAAGTCTGGGGTGGAGAAGGGAGTGAGGACAGCTGGGGTCTTCATCTGTAAATTAAATTCCGCTTCCTCCAGGCCCACCCAGCTTTTCTTCCACACCATCACTATCTTGAGATTCCCCTTCTTTGCCCCTAGTGGGCACATAACACACCCACAGGGCCTGACTGCATGGCAGACAGTGAGCACGTGGGGACAAGCTGTCTGCCTTCCTTCTCTCCCCACCGCCACCAACATGACCAAAGAGGGCTCTCTCTCAGCTGGGAGGCAGAGGACAGATACCCTAGTCTGGAGGGCGAAGATATGCCCAAAGGCCGCAGAAGACAGGCTGGAAATCCTGGCAGGAGTCCTCGGTTGGCAGGTTTGGAATAAACATAAGAATAACTTTCTGACAGTGGGAAGGGGCAGGGGAGCTGAACTTTTTTCAAGACACTAGTATGTGTGCTTTATAATGTCACTTCATTCCCTCCTTACAACGTGCTTCTGGGAGCCAGCGTATCATGCCCAATAAGGAGGCTGAGACACAGATCATTCAAGTAATTTGGCCAAGGTCACCCAGCTGGGGGCAGGCTACAATTCCTATCCAGGGCTGTCCCATAATGGAAGGTGTTATCAGAGAGAGGGAGTGAACTTCTAATTTATAGGGGTGTATAAGCAGAGTCTTCAGCAGGGCTCCTGTCCTGTGTCTGGGTGTGTCTGGAAGGACAGAAAGGGCAGATGACATGGGAGTCCTCCCTACCCCGAGAATCTGGGGCTGTACGATTCCTTTTCTTTTAGAACCGGGGATCCTGAGAGGCTGGGACTTGAGGATTCTGTAGGGCCAGCGATATCCACTCCCTTAGACCCCAAGCCCTGTGCCCAGCATGTTCTCCTAGCAGCTGTCCAAGGCCCTTGACGTTGGGATTGGGGGACAGAGGGACACGCATGTCCCTCAGTTTCCCTTCTCACCCACTACTGCTCCACCCCGACCCCGGATCTTCCCCATCTGCTGTTGTCAGCAGAGGTGCGACCGGCAGGAAGGGAGCCCACGCTCGTGACCTCCCTCCCACGGTCACAGGCTCCTTCCCAAGGAGCCGGTGCAGGTCCAGGGTGAGGAGGCGCAGAGAAGCCTATGTGGTACCGAGTTGGGGGGGCAGCCATGGAGGGCCTGCGGCAGGGCCAGCCTGCTGGGCTCCCTCTTTCCCGGGGCCCGGACTCAGACCCGGCATTAGAGCATTTCCCGCGCCACCCCCATCTCCAGGCCGCCTCATGTCACCTCCACCGTTGTTGCCAGAGCCACGGCATCAGCCTCTCTGCCTCCAGCCTCAGTCCTCCCCCAGTCCAGAGGGGTCTTCGTAAAAGACAAAGCCATCCTACTGCTTGAAACCCTCCATGGCTTCTGCCTGCTGTCAGGAGGAAGTCTAGCTCCTCGGCCTGGCACTGGAGGTTTTCTTAATCCAGCCTCTGCCAACCTCACCAGCCCCAACCCTCCTCTGTGACCTGCAGTTTCCCGAATGTGCCCAGTACTTCTCTCCTTCCAGCCTTAGTTCATGGTACTCCTTCAACCAGGAATCCTCACATCTACCTGTTGAAGTTACAGCTCTATCCTTCAGCGCAGCAAGCCCCAGTGATTACGAAGACCTGGCCTCGGCAGCCAGACCTCCTATGTCCTCAACTGTAAAATGAGGTAATTAATGGAACCTACGTGACAGGACTACCATGAGGACTAAGCGAGTGATCTGTGGGAAATGTCTGCAGCAGTGCTTGGCACACAGTAGGTATGCTGTGATGTTATGAGCTTCCAGGCTCAGCTCAGATGTGGCCTTTTCTTGCAATCTTTGGGACACTCTCTCAGGCCACTGGTAGAGGAGCGATAGGTCTTGACTGGAGGCCGTGGAGCAGGTGAGTGTGGTGGGCCAGGCCTGGGACCACTGAGAGCTGTCTGGGAGGGTGACCGGAGAGACTGGCCCGAGGAAGTCTGGGTGGAGGGGGGCAGGAGAGAGTGGTGGACAGGAGGCCTGGCTCAGGGGTTGGGAGGAGGAGCGGGAGCGGGCGGAGGAGGAATTCAGTGTCAGACAGGGTGAGCGCGGGGTGCTCTGAAGGGGTATGGTGGGCTGTGCAGATGGGTGAAGGCTTGGACCTTCAGATCTGCCACTTTGGGGGGTGGGCTGGGAGTAGCTGGCCCGCAGAAGCTGCAGGAGTGTGGAGGCCCGAGTATGAGACTGGAGGTCTTTAGAGGGGCCACATTCCCTGGCCCTCCATGCTGAGACACCGGTGCCAAGCTCTGCTGCAGCACCAGTGACATCAGGCATCTCCTGCCCTCCTGAGACTCAGATCTCTCAGGGACTGAATGCCATGGCCTTGGAGAACTGCGACCATAAAACGTCCCTCATGAGGTCGTCTTCCCCCCTGGAGACAGGGAGAGAGGCCCCCTCCATGACACCCAGTCCCTCCTCTGGGCTGCAGCTGCAGCTCCAGCCCCAGGGCTGAGGTCTGGTGGCCTCTCCTCGGAGTCGGGGCCAGGGTCCAAATCTTCCCCTCGTCAACATCCCCCTGCTCTGCACAGTGCGCCTGCAGATCGCTGGTGGTGGAATCTCTGACTCCAGTGAGAGGGGTGGAGACTTCCTTAAGACTCCAGTGAACCCAGGGAGCCTTTCCACCTGTTTTAAGACATCCTGCCTCCACCCTCCCCGGCCAGCTGGGATTCCATCTCCATGGCCCCCTTCCAGACTGACTCTGCCCACCCTCTTCTTCCACAGGCTGGCTCACCAACCTATGATTACATCTTTCCTGTCCCCCAACCCTGTTTATGGGACAGCCAAGTCCCCAGCCCTCTGTTCTGCCTTTTCTGACCTCCGATGCCCTTGGGGCCTCACTCCCTTGAGACAGGCTCCTGCCTGACTTTGTCTAACACCACTCGCCAGCCCCTCCATGCCCAGTCCTGGCTGGCCCTGTGCTGAAGAGCTCCTGGTCCGGAGGGAGATGTGGGCTGTGTAAGTGCCCCACCAGGCCTCCTCGCCCGTGTGCAGACTGTGCTTTCCGCCTGGCCAGCCTTTGTGGAACCCACCCACACTGCCCTCCATCCTGCCCAGCGCTCGAGGCTCTTTTCAGATGTTGCCTCGCCTCTGAAGCTCTCTTCCTAACACCAGGACACGCTGCACACACACCCTGTTAGCACTGTGTCCATCCACCCGCTACCCCAGCACATTCCAGGTACTCCCGGAAGACTGGGTCCACCTGAGCGCTTTCCTCTGTCCCCATCATCCGGTAGGAGGCCTGAGTTAAAGTGGGTATAACACGAATGAGAGAATGAATGAGAGAATGAATAAAGGAAGCACAAATGGCTATGGAACCCAGAGGGGGCTGAGCTTTATGACGGTGGCTTTCCTTTCCCGTATTCCTCTGAGATTCTCCCAGAGGACAGTGACACTTAAAGATTTATCAACCGCTGACTCTCGGTGGCCAGGAGTCACCTCAGCTCTCTTGAGGCCCCGTCCACTCAAGGCCTGCTCCTGCCTTACACAGGTCCCTGGACTCTCTCTTTCAAGAGCTGCAGAGAAGGCCTTGCTTTCTCTGGACAGAGGGAGGGTCACTGGACCTAGACATTCCGGAGATGGGTCAGCTGTCTGGGCAAGCCACATTCTTCTGTTCAGCCCATCTCTGGCACAGATCATGCGGCAGGCTGGGTCAGGAGCCCCACCCCCTCCCTCTGTAGGGGCCAAGCCTGGGCCGAGCAGCTTGAACACACCATCTTTATTTCACTCCTCACCCTCACTCCTCAACAGATACTGCCATAGAGGGGAAGCTATTGTTCAATGCCATATGGCAAGAAATTGGAAAATCAGGGTTTGATACCCAGGGCTGCCTGGCTCCGAAGCTTGAATTCGTCACAGCTGGGGATGAGGTGAGGGAGCAGCGCAGAGGTCCCCCCGAGCTACTCCCGGTTCGGTGTACACACACATGCACGCACCTGCCCCAGCCTCCCAGCCAGTGGACCCACCCTCGCACGTCCGTACCTGACCAGCCCCAGTTCTTGCAGTAGGATGCTCAGCGCCCGCTCGGGTTCTTCACTCATGAATGCACACGTTTGGACAGGGCTGCAAGGAACTCTGCAGGAAACAGGAAAAACAGGCCCCCCGCCTGGGGCCACACCCAGCTTCCAGCATTTCTCAGGGCAGGCAGTGCTGTGGGCTCCTGAGACACAGGGAGGTGGAGACAGCGTGGGCTCTGAGTCACAGGCAGCCAGCCAGGCCGAGCCCTCCCAGGGCCACCTTCTCTGCTCCAACCTTGGCCTGAAAGAGGCAGAGAGGTGACCTGGCGTGCTGGTCCCGGGAGGGGCATCCTCTGCCCACCAGCCGTCCGCCCTCAGCTCACATGCCCGGGGTGGCTGTTCCCAGCCTCCTTCCCCAGGAGCCCCCTCTCACAGGAAGATGGTTCTGCCAGGGAAGGTCTCCCAGATCCTGCAGAGCTGAGCTGAACCTCCAGCTCCCCTTCCCTTGGTTTTGGTTCTGTGCTTCAGCCCCACGACAGGAAACAGTGAGTGCCCCGCTTGCCTAGTGTACACTTGACATTGTTTCAGCCCACACAGTTTTGCTCAAGCTGGATCTCTACATGGAACACCCCTTCTCCCCCAATCATTCCTCCAGGTATTGTAAACACACATGAACACACACAGGCATGGACACACAGCTACACAGAGGCATACACAGTCACACTGAGACTTCCACACGGTGCACACACCCTTACACACAGTCCTAGTCAGGGCCTGGGACAGCCCTGAGAAATCACCTGCGCCCAACTCCCACTTGACGGAGGAAGGAACTGAGGCCCAAGGCCTCACCGGAAGTCAGAGACACAGGCAAAATCAGAGGCCAGGTCTTCTGGGTTCTGGCCCTGGTTTCTGTCTTGCCTGGGAGCCCCTCCTACACACCAGGCACAGCACTTCGGTGAGCGGATGGTTACCTGGTGGACAGGTCCCAGCATCCACCAGAATCTCAGACACATCACAGGGGGAAAATAACACCTTTTTCCATCTCCTTCATTTCTCTCCAATGGGGGTGTGGGGTCTGAGACAGCTGAGGTCCTCAGGCTGGAGTGCAGTGAAAGTGTGGGGGAAAGTGGCAAGAGGAGATGGGGGGCAGCTTCAGGGATAGGACAGGGAGTGAAGGCACCGAGAAATGACCCTGGGCCACTGTTCCCCCAGTGTACCTTGCCCCAGGAGCCTCAGGTTGACCTGGGCCAGCAGGCTGTAGCTACATACCGACCTGCTCTAGAGTCTGGTGACAAGGTGAAAGAACTTTACCTTTTCACCCCACTCCGCCCAAGGTCACACCTTGTCTTCTCCTTAGGAGAGCCCTTCACGCCACAGACTAAGGTCCAAAAGACTAAGGTGGAGCACAGCCTTTCTCAGAGCCACCCTCTGACTCTGAGAAGGGTCTTCGCCATCCATCCTTTTAGGTGTCAAGCCTTTGATGTGTCCTGGACAACCTCTCCCTTTCCCACCTATGTGAGAACCATCGCTCAGCAAGTCCTGTCAGCTCAGCCCGTGGAGCAGCTCAGAGGCAGCACCCTCCCCACCACGTTGCGCCTGTCCCCTCCCTGCTCTCCTGCCTTCACCCCCGCCCTCCTGTCCATCTGTTGTACGGCAGTTATAGGCCTTCTGGAAACATGAATCTTACCATATGCTATGGAGCTCACAACCCTGCCATGGCTCCCTATGGCCCTCAGGCTATGTCCAAGCTCCTGAGCCTGATACTCCAGGCCCTGGCTGGTCTCTGCCACCCACCCCTCTAGACAGCCCACCCTCTCGGCCTCCAACCTCATCTTCCTGTGTCAGGCACAGCAAAGGCACCCGTGGTCTAGCATTGGTCAGGAACACCACCCCTCATCTTCTATCAGCAATATCGTAAGAGTTGGGTGCTTTTCCTGTGCCAGCTTCCATGTTTGGTGGCTTCACAGACCCTTCCTCATTTACCCCTGAGAAGCTTAGAGAAGCAAAATAACCTCTCCAGGGTCACGAAGCTAACCAATGGCAGAGCAGCCCTGGACTGTCTGACCTCAGGAGCTGTGCCCCTGACCACTACCTCCTTCCCCCCAAAAGCTGAGGTCCTCTCCCCCAGGAAGCTCCCTGACTAGCTCTCTTTGAGCCTCATGGATCTGCTTTTCCGGTCAGTTCTCTACCATTCAGAATGCCCTACAGGCAGGTCCCAGGATCTACTCTTCCTGGTACTTTCCAGGTGTGAAGCAGTCATGACAGTTATTGTACCCATCTCACAGAAGGGGTAGCCCAGGGTCTCGCCCAAGGTCATCAGCGAGTCAAGGGCAGAGCCAAGACAAACATACAGATTACCTGTCCCATTGACTAGGCTCTGCCTCTACCCCACCCTGCGCCCCGGACTTGTGAGCTCAAAGCAAGGAGGAAGGGCTGGGCAGTTCCCAGGCCTGCTGAGGAATTTCCAGGGCGGTTAGAAGACATTCCAGCTCCTCCACTAGGGTGACTGAAATGTACCAGCTCACATGCCCACCCAGCTGGCTCTGGCCCTGTCCAGCCTGGAAGGGGATTGTAGCCCATTCCCATTCTAAACCCCCTGCTGCCTGCTCCTGCTGTGTAGGGAATCAGGAGACCTGGGCCTGAGACACTGTCGAGGGGCAGGGAAGGGCCCCGGGCAGGTGGGAGATCCCAGCTGTGCCACCCCAGCTGTGGGACCTGAACAAGTCTCTCCTCCACGACCTTGGTCTCAGTTACCTTGCAATCTAAGAATAGTTCCTGCCCCATAAGTTTGCTGATAGTTAAAGGTGATGATGTAGAATTCATTTTATAAAATAATTAGAAGAGATATGATTTAAGCAGGTGAAGAAGGCAGGGAAGATGAAGTTATCTCAGGTAGACACGAGGGGCAGGAAATGCACAGGAATTTGGGGCAGAATAGCAGGGTCAGACTGGCCTCGCATTACGTTTCCCACGCTGAAGGCCGTCCTCAGAAGGGAGGGAAGTCCAGGGACCCCCAGCAAGAACCAGACCCCACCACCCTTCTTCACCCACTCATCCTTTCACAGAAGGTGTCATATCTAGGGAGGGCACCTGTGCAGGGCACTTGGGCATTCCAAGGTGGGTCGTTGTCAAGGTTGGCAGGGAAGTGGGTGGCATATGGAAGAAGACCCAGAAATAGGTAATGACAACTCAGGGTGATTTAGCTGAAGGAAGCAGAGGTAACAGGGCAGAAGGAGACAAGAGGACCCATAATGGGAATGGGGAAGTGGTCAAGGAAGGCTTCCTGGAGGAGAGGACATGTGGCCTGTATTTTGGAAGGGATCATGTGAGTGAAGAGAGAAGAAAAGCAGAGTGAACAAAACCAGGGCAGTAATCACACAGTAAATTTAGGAAACTGTCAGTCATCCCTGTGGACTGAGAAGAGAAGAGAGGGCAAGGCTGGGCTAGAAGACGGAAGGGTCTTGAGAGTCATTCCCTGCCACTTCCCAAAAGTCATCCACAGAGCCGAGAGCTGGTGGGCCCCCAGCCTTGCCTTGAGTGCTTTCTGCACCACCAGCCCTGGGGCTCACCTGGGGAAATAGCTGGGAAGATCACCTCAGATGTTATCAAAGGTGTTGTTGAAATGTAAAGCCTCCTTCAGGAAGCCCTTGTGCTCTGCAGCCCGTTGGAGGCACTCTCCCTTTTGGAGTCCCCAGGACCCTGGCTGTGGGAGCCTCGCGCTGGGGTTGAGCTCAGATCATCTGAGCGTGCGGGTGTTAGATCAACCAGACTGGTCCCTCCACCCTACTGACCAGCTGACTGAGACTCCAAGAGCAAAGGCCTTACTCAGGTCTGGTGTTCGAATTCCAGTATTTTCAGTGTGGGGTTGGGCCCCTCCACCCTCACCCCAGAGCAGGACCCCAAAGCGCCTGTCCTACTCCTGACCCAGCACAGTCCAGCCCAGCCCCTACCAGCACAGGGCTATAGAGATGCACTGCTAACCTGAGCCAATTCAGAACCACACTCCTCTGTACTCCCCATTAACCTATCACAATCCAGATGCCTGCAGCTAGACTCAAGAGGCAAGAACCACTCTGACCAGTGTGGCTCAGTTGGTTGGGCAAGGTCTGCAATGTGAAAAATCACCAGTTCAATTCCTGGTCAGGGCACAGGCCTGGGTTGCAACCTCGGTTCCTGGTCAGGGTGTGAACGAGGGGCAACCGATCGTATCGATGTTTCTCTCTTGCGTTGATGTTTTTTTCCCTCTCTTCCCCTCTCAATAAAAATAAATAAATACAATATTTTTTTAAAAGAGGCAAAAAACTTGGGTTCAGGTTCTAATTTGGAACTTCCCGTGCTGTGCGATCTCAGGCAAATTGCTTTCCCTCTCTGAGCCTCAGATTCTTCATTGGTCATCTGGGGAGAGTCACCACTACACAAGACTGCTCATGAGGAATGAGCAAGACAAGGAGATGGGTGGGTGCTCAGTGGGGCCAGCAAAGCATGCACTGTCCTGCTGTGGAGGCTGCAGCTACCCATCATGCTTGAGCGACACGGAGACGCTTCTCAGCAGGGGGCCCTCCTGGGTGACCTGGCAGAGGGGCCCTGGTCAGCACAGTCAGGGCAGGTTCCTGGAAGGGGCTGTAATCAGGTCTGAAGAGAAATGAAAAGGGTCCAGCTTAGAAGGAAAGAGGGAGAACAGAGAACCCAAGGTAGGAAAAGAGACAAAACTGGAGAATGGGATACAAGTGAGCCTGTGATTCTGAGACTCATTCTGTGTGTTTGCAGGATTCTCAGTTCATTGGTCCAATTCCAGGAGTCTTTGGTTCTGGGGGTGAATGTTATATGTTTCTTTAATTATGTTATTCATTGCTCCTGATAGCCTTTGGTTTTGAGATTCTCAGAACCTCAGGAGTCTAGACTCTCAGAATAACATAATCTTAAGTCACTTCCCCAGCGACGAAGTCTCGGCAAACACCTGCCAATGCCTCCATGTGCCTGACCTCAGAGGATCCTGCAAACCCAGACTCAGACCAGACTCAGCTGGGTCCCCGAAGAGCTCCAGTCTGAATGGGAAGAAAGCCACAGATACGGGCCAAATCCACTTGGGTGATCAAGCCATGACCAAAGGAAACCAGGGGCCACGGAGCCCAGAGCAACTCCTAACCAGCCTGGTGAGTCGGTCAGAAAGAGCTTCCCAGAGGAGGGGTCATTTGAGCTGGAACGTGATAGATGATTGGGAGTTTGTTAGGTGGTCACAGAGGTAGGAGGGCATTGGAGGCGGAAGGAGGAGCAGGTGCAAAGACTCGGTGGTAATGACAC